AAAGAGGTACCCTCCCAGATTTGCTTATCTCATCCTTCTTGAAAGCACCCCTAACTTCCTTGGCAGCGGTAGCCAAACAAGAGCTGTAAAACCCTGTTTTCCCTGGTCCGGTCGAACTCGCAACTCAGCATATGTGGTGGGGAGCTCCCGAAATAGCTCTCGGTTGCCTCACCAGTCTCGGCAGCAGCTCAAAAAGCCTTTTGTCTTCTGGGACAACTTGGAGAAGTTTAAGATGTTTGGACATATTTTGAAAGCGCTCTGCAAGATAAGAATGATCTATTCCAAGGCCGGGTGAACTGAAGGTCACGGCTAAGGCGTTGCACAACGCAACCAAGCGGGTTCAGCCCAAAACTCGCACAGGATTTGAATGCTGCTGCCCCTGCCTCGGGTCAAAGCTGAGGCCTTTCCATCTGGCACCTCAGCGGGCCGAACACGCTCGTCGTTTGTCCTAAATACCAGCGGGGCGATGCCAACGGGGTGGAGGACATGGGCCCTCGCCTGCCAGAGCGCTGGCGGAGGGGCCTTCAGAAAAAAAAAAACAAGCAGAACAGCTCCATTTCCGAGGAGAAGCTGGAATTGCTGCTGGACAAGCGCACTCTCGGCCTGGGAAGGGTAGCATGCACTTCTCCCTGGTCAAAGGCTGTTTTCTGACTGGATCTTGTAACATTTCAGGCTCTCTCTAGTTAGGACAAAGCCTTGCCAGCTCTCACTACATTAAACAAGGGATATCCACAAGCTCCTCCTTATACCGCAGGACTCCAGTGCAAGGCTCCCACAGGCTTCACACGGACAATGGCTGTCGCCCCGGAGTCACGGGAAACCCCTCCCTGCTGCGCCAAAAGACTCCTCTTTCTTGAAAATATCATCCACCCTCGAAAAACGACTCCAAGAAAGCATACACGTCCGCAGCTCCCTGTCAGGGCAGGAGAAGAGTTTGCTGCCGACATGTTTCCGAGCACGCTCCCCTGCCCCTCGGCCAGAGCCCACGGTTTAGCTTTCTGCTGAGTCAGGAAGCTGGGTTTCTTATCCCAAATCCCAAACGGGTGGTTTCAAGTGCTCCAGGCATTTTTCAAAGACAGTTTGAAAGGCAGCCAAGCCCACAGCGGGGTGTAACTCATCTCCTGACCGATGTGCAGGTGGGCTGGTTGTCTCCCAGGACGGGCAGGCTGGGCTGCGGCCGCAGCCACCATCCCAGGGGACACCCCCCGCGCCCCCCAGAATCAAGTGAACGCTGTGGTTTTTAGCAGCAGTAAATGATCCCACTGGGGGTGACCTGACCACCGAAACTACGCCGGTTTGGCTGAAGGGTTGACGTGCAGAGGCCCACATAAACATGCACATAGAGACTCCAGTGGACACAGGATCAGGCCGCCTGCCCAGCCCCAAACCGCCCCACCAGCCGGTTTCACCCGCTGCTTCTCCAGCTCCCGCGTTTAGGTGTCTGTCCACGACACAGCAAACCAGAGCCAAGGCAAATGTGCAATGTAGAGATCCATTATGCTTTATTTACATGCGTCACCATCTCTTTTACAAACTAGATTACAATTTAAAATGGAATACACAAGGCAATATCTACGAACACCAAGTGGAGTAAGCACTGCGTCTCTACGTCGTTTGGAAAGGGGCAGGTTTTGCTCCAAAACAAACTTCCTTCCAACCTCTGTGTAGTAAGGTAGTATATTCCTCCAGGGCAGCATCTTTTTTCCTTTTTTTTTTTTTTTAAATATAAAATCCTCAGTAAGACTGCACCATGAGAGTGTCTGCTTTCAAATGAAAGTACAAGATAGCCCAAATGAAAAGTATGAACTGTCCAGCTCTTCGGTATGTAAAGACGGCCATGCGCGATAAGGCTGTGGATTTAATATTCGTCCAATTTACATGGCTTGAAACAGAAACAGATAAAACAGTTTTTACAGATACTGTATACATATTTTTTTCCAATCATGCAAACTTTTTTTTTAAAAAAAAAAAAGTTAAACATGTGAAGCCAAATGTACAATCCATTTTTTCCAACCCGTAGTAACGAAACGTATCTGGTCCCCCTTCGCATCCATTGGCAATTCCTAAGGTAAATCGTGTACAAGAAACGCTTACAGGACACCAACTGCCAAGCAATGACATCATTTTAGAGAAGTACACGACCTAAAAGGTAATTTTTGAAGCGGTGGCACAAGAATTCCTGGAGTTAAGCAGTGGTCAACTATCCCATTATTCTCAAGAGAAAATTTTTTTACAGAATCATTAAACCATGCCCCAAACCCATGACTAGCAACGGCATAAACGTCTCCTTTTTAAACCTTCTGTTTAGACCAAGTGTTTAAACGATAACTACGTAATTGTTCTGGACCATTCTTTGTTTTAACGCAGCGTCAGAAGGAAGATTTCTAGGCATAAACAAGTTCAAAGACTCAAAGGCCAACTTTTCAAAAATTCCCCAAATTAGCCATTCAAGTCTGTATTTTGACACCTAAATAAGAGGCTCTTTGCATTCAGCGAGATTTATTTAGCACCTCTGGAGAGGAGGGTGTTTGCTGGGCACCTCAGCAGGTGTAGAGGGTGGTGACTTTCCTCTGGGCCTGGGGGGACCCGGCAGCCCTCCCTCCCTCAAGGAGCGACGAGGGCAGAGCAGCTCACCCTCTGCGACCATGCTGGAGTCCCCGACATTCGGTGCCTGCCACCAGGCACTTCCATTTGAAAATTTTGGCCCCAAAAATGAGCAACAGAAACCAAACCAGACCAAGCCAGACCGAAGAGGTTAGCCAGGTCTACTCCTCTTCACTGAGTTCTGGGTGTTCTTCAAAGCAGGGGCCCCAAGGTGTCCCAGTCATGCCAATGGAAATGCTCTCCTTGACATTGCTGGGAAGCAGGATAAGCCTTTCAGCCACTAATGCTTTTACTTAAAAAAAAAACCTCCAACAGCAACAACAAAAAAACCTTCTCTGCCATTGATGGGCTGTCTCTAAATCAAGTGGTTTTTCTCCATTTTCTGAACAGAGTGGTGGACCACAGTTTTCTCTCTCATTTCTGCCAGCGGGGCCTAGCTCTGTTGAACTTGAGAGGTCCAGGCTGCCGCAGGAGAGTGCACAGTTCAAGCTACCAGGCCTTCCCTTGCCTTCGATAGAACTGCATCCATACCAAGAACAAAAAGATTTATGGATTTTGGTCACCTTGGCCATACCAACAAGTCAGGCATCACCAGTGCTGCCAGGAACCTGGTCTTTAGACAGGCACCCCAGGTCTCACCGGAGGGAAGTCCTTCAGTGTACTCTCGCATTCCGGGGCGTACCGGAAAGCCGAGAGCTAATGCTACACGCTCAGAAGAGGCTGGTGATAAAGCTCTCGACCAACTTTGGTAAAAGGGGCCAGCAACTGGACTCTGACAAGCCAAGCGACCCCTAGCCCAGGTGACCACTGGGCCACGCGAGCGTCCTGGGTAGCTGGCTGCTGACAGAGATGGGCAACGAGCATCAGCTAACTCCAATAAATGTAATAAACTAGTCCCCACGCTGACAAATACTGGCCACCTCGGTGTAAAAAAGAAAAGAGAAGTTTTTTAAATGGCGAATGATAAACCCTTGGTTGCTTGGAAGAGCTGATATGCTACAGGGCTACAATAACCACAACTGCACAGAGCCTACACAGTCATAACTGCGGGGAGAAACCAAGAGGTGCATCTTTACGAGAGGAGAGTGTGGGGGCTACGATACAAAAACAAAACTTCCATCACACTAGGAGCTGTTGTTTCACCAATATCACCTCAGGGACCTGGAAAGTAAGGAGCGAGGAAGGGCCTGTGTATGCGCGCGCGCGCGCGGTGGCGAGAGGGGAGTCACTCCACATTGCATGGGACACGGGTCGGTGGGAACTCATGCACTGAGACTTTGGGTTAAAATGCTAGTTTGTTTTCCTAACATCCATGCATAATGATCCATTTCTGTACATAATAAAATATATTTATATATTTATATGCATAATGCTTTTATGCAAAGAAAAAAAAACTTCATATATCGCTTTGGAGAATTATGTATACACTGTCCTATTCAGAACCTCCTCCTACCGAGTTCCTACGTACCACTGGTGTCTTCTCCTCTTTTTTCATATCCCTCCCACCCAAGACACTAATAAAAAGTAATCAAACTTTCCAGATTATAGAGAGGATCTATACAGCACCATACCTTTTATTCGTTATTAATTATTATTCATTTTACAAAAGAAAATCTTAGAAGCAAAATATATAAAACTGCCTTGTCTTTCAGTGTCATTTATCTTGTTACAATCTAAGCTCATATGAAAAGCCATTTGTATGATACTGTCACCTTGACATTCCCTCTCCTGCTTCTTCTGCCGCAACGGATTATACATAATGAGAAGGAAAAAATAATCAAGGATACGTCCAAAACAAACCAAAAAAAAAAAGGATCACTGATGCAGTAACACACCCTGCAACGACCTCAACTCCGGCGTTGCCACTGCAAGTCACCTGCTGACGCCCAGCCTCTACGCTCAGCTTTTCTGCGAAGCGGCATGTTTCCCTTAATTTTTGCTTTTTCAGACACATCTTTACAGGTGGCTATGTTCAACCTGTCTGGCAGCTCAGCTCCTGACTCCTCACCAGCTTGCTGCGGCAGCAGGGGCAGCCTTGCTAACATAAGGTGGGAGGGGAGCCTGCTCCAGCGGGCAGCAAATGGGCCCCCGCCTCGGCGTACGTGCGGGCAACGGCACCCGTTGTCAGTCCATCCTCACGAGCCAAGAGGCAAACTCACCGGCTTCCCTCGTTTTGCAACCAACCCTGGCTTGACGCTTATGGAAAACAGGGGCGGTACCATTAAATTTAAGGAAAGAATAAGAAAGAACTAAACAAACCAACCCAACAAACCAACAGACCACACGCATCGCCTCTCTCTGGAATTCAGCCGGTGGATCGGTGCAACGAACGCCGCATGTTCAGGAAACCCTGATGTCTGAGCAGAGTTGGGTTACGAACGTTTCCTTGCGCGTGCGCAGGACTTCAGATTCCCCAGGGAGAGAAAGCAAAAACGGCCAAAAACCTAAGGAAATCAAACTGGAGGTCATAGGGGGGAGGGTGGGCAGACGGGGAAAACCTCCAAAAAGAAAAGCCAACTTAAAACATCCCATAAACCATTAATATATTGAAACACCACATACTCATTGACAAGTAACTACTGTAAAGGCTACACAGTGTGTTCTCAACAGGATGGTGCTGAACATTGTCTCCACAGCAGGTGCTTGGCCATCCCAGAAAAGGAAGATTTTGCATACTTCAGAATGAGTTCAATTTCCCCCCAAAAAAGAGGAAAAAAAAAAGCAAAAAACCAGGAGGATCCTTCACTCCAGTAAGGGGCCTATTAACAGTCTGCTTCGTTAGGAAAATAATGCAGGGTTCACAAAGGTCGTAAGCTGTAAACAGTATCACTGTCCACTTGCTGACAGCAGATTTGGCAAAAGGGTTCTCTCTCTACATCTCATGTCAGTGTGAGGGCCTGCAGAGGAAGAAGAAGAAAAGACAGTGAGACTGCTGCACGTAGGGAAAAAAACCCACAACAAAAAAGGCAACCAAGCAAACCTCCAAACCCAACAACAGCTTACGCCGACGAGCTACTTTGATTTGTTTTCACCCAGAAGCTGCAAGCTTACGGCAAGAAGGAAGTTGCACCGCGACCCTGCCTGAAAATGCTTCTCCCTCGCCAAGGTTTGAGTGTGCTGCTTTGCTGGCTTAGCTGCTCCCAAGCACCGAAGGATAAACCCTCTCTCCGAAGAAAACCAACGGCCAAGTCTGATTTACAGAAACCCAGCACGTCGTCTATCTGTTAAGCATATTTCCAGGTGAAAGACGGAAGGGTCCTCCAGCTTTTCTCCATTTTGCACCATCCCTTTTCCTCAGCATCACCAAAAGGCTGGACAAATCTCCCATCAGCAGCGAGGAAGCCACAGTTTTCAGTTCGGACCTTGGAGTTCTCCATTCTCCTGCTCGTACGACACGCCATCAACAGACAGGGTCCACCCCGCTTTAAAAAGGGAGTTAGGGTCCAGCTTACTCTGTAGCCATGAAACCTCTCGGCAGCGGGAGTGACACTGGAAAGACACCTTGGATACAGCACGGAGATGACTACGAAGGGACATGGTAAGCAGGTAAAACTGAAAACACATGGCCATTTCAACCAAAGGGGCCAAAGGGGCAGGTGTTTAAAGGTACTGAGTGGCCTAAAGATACAGGCAGGCACCAAGCCGGGTTTTGGAAAGTATGTACAGTTAAACATTCCCATGAAATCCTTTCACATCTTCAGAAAGCCCACTTGGTAGCCACCTGCATGTAACTTCTGGCTCTGAAGTGGCTTCTGAAGCCTGGGCTTAGTCCCTGCTATTTACAACCTGTGGAGGATTTTCCCTGAGGTGAATGATCGGTGATTTCTTTTTATACAGTGCAAGAACAAGGGGACACTTGCTGAAACCAAAAAGCCATCTGAGTTAATTAAAAGACAGGAATGTCATTATTCTCAAAAGGTCCTGGTATCAGGCACCCTCATGAAAAATGGTGGGTTTAGCAGGAACGCTGGATTAATCTGGACCAGCGTCTCCTGCAAGGGGATCACTCAAGGGCTGTCACGAGATGACTCTCCATCACTGCCCCTCTCCTTTCCAAGGTGCCAGGCACTGATCCTATGATAACATTTTATTAAAATGACCTATTCTGATAATGCTAAATGATGGATGGAAATCTAATCGTTTTGTCTCATGGTTATTAGAGCAACAGCATGACAGCTGCTCCCTGCACCATTAGGGGAGAACTCCATTCAGCAGAGCTTAGGGAGCAGACAGATTGCGCCTTTCACCCAAACAAAATTTGGCTTTAGCCTTAATTACGTGGAGGGGTTTGGAGTAGACCATTTTGTGAATCAAGGGATTTCTGACTGGATCAACATATTGATTTCTTCATTTTCAAAGGGCAAATTAACACTAGCCTTTCGGTAATGTGACTGCCAGGCAACGACTCCATTCGGTAAGTGTGTCCTGATGGCCGTAACAAGGTCAGCAGAAGATACCCAGACAGGCCTGGTAGCCCCCAGTAAAACCTGTCTAGTGGGCTTGTATGCAGCTCAAACAAGTGCATGCCGTTTCCTCTACTTCTCCTTAAAGCCTTGGCACCAGAGGAGGCTGGAAATGGGTGACTCCCCAGAGCGCAACCTCATCCGAAGGCGAGGCTCACGTCCCACCCGCTGCAGCCCAGCAAGCCAGCTCGCTCTCATGCAGCCGCCCGTTAGGCTGAGAGCAGGCTTACCTTCAACACGTGTAGGACGTCTTGCTGACTTGGAATGGAGCTATTAATTAAGTAAAGGAGTACACAAACTCCCGATGAAGTACCAGGGTAGTGTTTAACGTTTATATTAAATATGTATGGAAAATACTTCATGCAGCCGCCCGTTAGGCTGAGAGCAGGCTTACCTTCGACACGTGTAGGACGTCTTGCTGACTCGGAATGGAGCTATTAAGTAAATGAGTACACAAACTCCCGATGAAGTACCAGGGTAGTGTTTAACGTTTATATTAAATACGTATGGAAAATACTATCCTATAAGACAAAGTGACAAGACAAGAAACTGAAGGATGGATGATGATAAGCATCATCTGTGGAAGCGGCACTGCCTGGTATTTTTTCCTGAGGGCACTCATTCTTCAGACAGTGCCAACGTTTAGGAGACAGTGAGATGAAATTTGCTTATAGAGGCAAACCAGGCTCAGTTTTCACAGCTGTTTACACAGTCTTTGCAAATGGATTAAAAAATGACAAGAAGTAGGTCGAAGTCTTAACTTGCCTGCCTCCAAATTACCCCAATGAAGTCCACAACAGACCCACACACTCTCGCTTTCTGTCTCGCCACAAAAAGCCTCCGTTAACCCTGAGTTAGTGGTCTGCTGCTTCACAGCCATCAAAACCGTCAGGCAGGGAAGCAAGCACTCCGGTTACATCTCCATTTATCAGTGGTCCTCAGCCACAACTCCCCAGTGTTCCTCTCTCCCTGCCCCAAATATCTCCAGCTGCATCCTGAGCCACCACGAGGGATGGGGATGTGGGAAAAGCTCATCCTCTGGAGTATCACCCTGACTTTGCCAAGGCAGATGGGATTTCTCCTCTGGTGAGCCAGTACGATGCTGTCCTCAAAGGGTGACCCACACTTCTCCAGGTAAAGTACGCCAGTCCCTACTTCATTCTTTTTCATGGCCTTTATTACTGGGTCCTGTTTTGGGGAATAAGAGCAGCAGAAGTATGAGCACAAGGGGTGATAAAAAAAATTGAGAGAACAGAGGTCAAGGAGGGATACAAGAAGGGTGAAGTCTAGTAGAGCCAGTGAGTTACGGCAGCGTTTGATAACTTGTCATAGAGCCCTGTCTTACGTGTGGCATGGTCTCTTGTTTCTGAGGTTGGGGGGAATTTCCAGAAAAGGCACGACTGTCAAACATCACCTGCCTGTACTACTTCAGGCACTCCCCGGAAAATCCAGTTCTCTGTTGAAAAGCTCCTCTGCCAAACCTGAAGCCCATTTTCAATCATCAAGGAGTGGAAAGGAAGGAGAAATTATAGTTTCTCCTGAATTTTCTTAGACTTCCTTTTCTCAAGACTTCTTCTGAAGAAAGCGAAGGCTTTCTTTTGGAGTGCAGTCTTCACACTGCATTGACACCTGGGCTCTGTCACACACACGTGCATGCACACACTAAAGGTAATTCCACTGCGGCTGGTTTGCCCCCCTGGGTACAGAAGGCTGGGACAAGATACAGCAGCTGGACATTAGAAGAATCCATAGTACTATATCAAGCTATAGCTTATGCAAGCATATATGGATGTGGTCGGTGAAAACAATGACTTTAAAACAGAAACAGAAGAAGCATGAAGTGAGGGGTGAGGACAAACTCCTGCCTTGTCATGTCCCACAGACATTTTGAACCCTAGATGCCAGATCTGTTTACCCTGTATGGTGGAAAAGTGTAAAACAAAACCAAGTATTTCCATATCTTCTAATTCTTCAGCTTGCAAGCAACTATGTAGGAGATGATGTCCCTTTCTTCTGCCCTTTTCTCTGCCCTCTCATCCTCTACCTCACTACTCACCAGTGAGAAATGCTACTATTGCTTTAGTCTGCGACCGAGCTGTTGGTTGTGATTCCTCTTCAGCCAAAAACATTTCCTCACCTCTGTCTCACATCATTCCACCACTTCATTGGATGGCCATCTCCCAAGCCCCTCACCAGCTCATGCACCATCAGAGCACCTCTGAAGGATCACCTCTTGCTTTCTCCCTTTGATTCCCAACAGTGCCAGTTAGATGGCACTGGAAATTTCTTCCGAATAGAAAGGTGACACATCGAGGCCCAGATAAGGTGCACTGGTGCTAAGTTTATCAGTAAGCTAACGTAACCACCAGCATAAGCAGTCTTCTGTTACAAGAAAAGTTACGTGCTCCTTTGCGCAACTGTGGTACGACAAACCACACTGCCAACACAGCTCCTGTGGACAGAAGCCTCCCAAGGACTTCCTGATTTGGCTAGAAGGCTGGTTGAGTGCATCGCATCTTGAAAAATATCACCACTTAGAGGTCTGTAACACAACTGTTTTCCCTGGATACCACTCCATAATGACTCCCCAGGGACAGGAAATCCAAGTAACTACTTTTACTGTCCAGAAACTTGGGATGCAAATATTTTGAAGGAAACTTCCATCCTTTAGGGACAGATGTACGTTCGTTCTGGTGCCTCTGCCCCTTGATTTGTCATCACCATCAACAGTACAGCTTCTATTCCAAAGTGGGGGTAGGCTCAAAAAGCAAGACTTGATTACCTGTGGTTAAAAGTTAATAAAATATGAGGTTTCCCAGCTCAAGACTGAAGAACATACAGCATTTGTTTAGAGCTGGCAACTTAACGTGCTTTCTTTCCTGAATCCTCAGGCATGCTGCAACCTCACTTTTTCTCTTTAAGTTTTACTCATAAAAATAGATCTTTTCCAGCTCAGAAGTGGGGGCAGAGAGTGAGGGAGAAGGCTGAAAGAGGAAGAATGCCGGCACAGAACTAAGACTTACGGGAACTACAAAGTTCCTGTGCTGGTACTTGCGCAGGCACGTAAAGCACGGAAGTGTCTCTTCCTCCTGTTGCTGTTCTTCCACTCCAAGAAACACTGCAAACCACAGCAGGCAACCAAACATTTTGGAAGTAAATGTAACTAAAGATAGCACATTGTTCTCTCACCCTGTATCAGCTCCCTGGGATGAAAAGCTTGCTCAGAACTATAGTGAAGTGCCACAACTACTGATATGCATGCCATTCTGATATCCCACCTGTCTACACAACCATAGAAAAGTCCAGGCTGGAAGGGTCATGCCATCATCTGGTCCAACCTTCTGTTGGGTTGTTCTGTTCTCAGGGCTTTAGGTTAGGTTATTCCAGGCCCTGTCAGACCAAAGATGGAATATTTCCAGCAAGGGAGAGTCCAC